TATATGAGGCCATCATGTAGCTCAATAAAGCTCAACCTATCTTAACGCATTAGCACCTTCAAGCATGGGTAGCTAGTCCTGATCACCATGGAACTCATGCTCGAGAAGGTTGGTTACTTTTCCTTTTTGAATGTGATCACATTAATTTGAATCTAACTGAGAGTCTGAGATGTACAAGAAATTGCACATAAACTAGTAATCACAACATACAATTGAAACTAATAATTTTCTATTCTTAATCTGAGCTAAAGGTCTGAGCAATACAAGTAACTTCATGTAAGCATATAGTTGCACATAAGCAAATAACTGCAGCAAGTCACACCATTTAGTCATTTTCTGTCATAAAATTTTTTATGTGTGTGTGTGTGTGTATATATATATAGTTTATTTTGCAAAGTAAGGTAAGCAAACAAATAATTTATTATGTGCATTCTAATCTAGCCCTTACTTGGGGAAAAAACTCAACTCACCTCTAACCGAGTATTCAAGTTTCTCCTTCAACAATCCTCATAGTCAATGCTCCAAATTCTACATTTATGAAGTTTAAAACCATATTAACTTAATCAATCTTATTCCACCAATCTTCTCCTTCAATTTCATACAGTCATTAATCGCTTTTCATCACTTTTACCCATAATTCCTATATATTCGGTAATTTCTAGTCATGATATGTCATAAAGTTATTAACTTTTCTACTAGAAAACAATAAAACTTACCTTAAACAATGCCTTCACAAACCCTAGGTTCTAGGTCTTGAAGAACTATTTTTGGATGGAAACCTAGGTTTCAATATTTAGAAGATATTAAACGATGTTAATCTCTTATTTTCTTAACTTGAATCTTGTCAAGAACTCACCTTGGTTGGCATAGGATGATCTAGGCTAAATATCTCCTTGGAAGAAATAAATTCTAACTCTTCGAGGTGTTAAGAATGAAAAAATATATTTTTTGACCTTTTATAGGCCTAGGGTAATCAGTTGCCACAGTTAAAATACGTGGCCACGGTTGTCCTGGTCTCTTTGGACTTGCTTAGAAGCCACATTCTGGAATCTGCCAAGATTCAGTAGTGGCCACGGTCAGCCTCCACAGTTCGAAGCATTTGCGACAGTTGACTTGGGGTTAGTTACTGCTCTGCTACCCTTTAACAAAAAGGTTATAACTTTTTGTAGGAGTATCATAATGGCGAATGATTTGACGTTCTAGAAACTAGACTCGGAGATCTTCCATTTGATATATTGCTCATAGTTCAAATCATCATAAGATGGAAGATATGATCGTTTGCAATTAGGTCATATGTGACTATATTCGCTTTCTTCTCTTAAACAATCCCAATTTGTTCTATTCCACCTTTTCCTCTTCTAAACATTCACATTACCTTTCAAACATTGGATTTAGGTATTATAAATCTTCAAAGCTTTCTAAACGCCCATACGCCCAACTTAAAGCCTGAACATGAATGTAGTGCTTAGCGAAAATATTTCTGGGACATGACAATTAGAATGTCATACTTGGAATTTGAATTCCTGACCTAAATCAATTTTTAAATTTGTTTGCCATTTTTCTTATGCCAAAAGGATTTAGCTCTCTCTTATATATATAGCTTAAAAGAATAATAGTTTTATATATAAATAATAAGTCATTAAATAAACTGAGGGATTATCCAACTATTAGTGGCGAAGCTAAAGGGAGCCAAGGGAGTTAAATTGAATTACCCATAAATTTTATTATGCAAATATGGTAAAAATAAATATTTTTACAGCTTGGTTGGATGGTTGTTACCTATTGTATTGTATGATATTGTTACTTTAAATACAATGTTTATTTTGATTGTTACTTAAATTTTATTGTATTGTATTGTATTGTTAAATCCATCGTTACGTAACAACAAAAAGTGCTACTTTATCGAACGACGGATTTGGTGTGGTGGCGTCGTTTCCTTATTTTTTTCTCTCATCTTGCCCTTTCTTATTATTAAATAATCGTATTTTATTTTTTATCCTACTTTTTTATATAATAATTGTACTTCGTATCCTATTTTTTCTTAGTAATGTTGCAAGTTTTATTCTTCATATTGTTAGTGCATGACATCATGAAACGACGGCAAACGATATAATTTATCCAAATATTGTATTCATTAAACAATACAATACAATGCAGTACAATACAATAAGATACATTATAAAACGACATATAACAACAAAACAAGTTGTTATTATATATGAATGGGTGAATCTATTTGACATAAGAAAAGATTAAAGTATAGTGGTAAACGGGTTCAAAAATTGTCTGTTGAAAATCTTAGGTTAAGGCTGGCAAGTGGGCCGGTCCAGGCCCGGGACCGGCCCGGGACCGCGGGTCAAACGGGCCAAATGGCTAAACGGGCCTGGTCCGGTCTCGTGGGCCGGTCTTATTATTTGGGCCCGTCAGGCTCGGGACCGGCCCGGGACCTTAGCGGGCCAAACGGTCCCAAAGTTTTAAAAAAACAAAATAGCCGTTGGGCTGTAAAAAATAGTCGTTGGCTATTTATAAAATAGCCATTTAACCTCCCCAACTTTGTTTTAATCCCAATCTTTTTATAATTATACTTTTTCCCTATTTTCAACTATAAATACCCCATCATTATTTCATTTTTTCTTACAAAATCATCAACGAATTTGTAAGAGATACCATGTAAATTAATATGTAACTTGTATTTTGGCACATCTTGAGTAGTTTCTTTTTCTTCTCAATGGTGGTATTAGCACCTTGTTGTGCTCATTCCATAGGGGGGGTGGGGGAGACTAAGAAAGATATTGCCATGATTTTTAATGCTATAATAAAAATATAACGCATTGATTTGAATATCTCTTTACAATATTTTTGTCTTTTTATATATCTTAAGCTATACATATAGTATATAATATACTATATATACAACTTAAGATATATAAGTTATATTCTATATACATATACATATAAGCTTATATACATACTATACTATACTATATATAGTATAGTATAGTATAGTAGAGNAGCTTATATATCTTAAGATGTATATATATCTTAAGATCTACTATACTATACTATATATATATCTAGTATATCTAGTATACTATGTATATATAGTATATCTTAAAATGTATATATAGTATATTTTAAGATGTATACTATGTATATATAATATAGTATATATATATTTTAAGATGTATATATAATATATAAATCTAATATAGCTTATATATCTTTATTACTATTTTTTTTCTCTAACTTCTATTTAAAAAAAATTAAAAATAAAAAGTTTTTGTTGGGCCCGTTTAGGCCCACTTAGGCCCGGGACCGGCCCACTTAACCCGGGACCGTTAGTTCGTGGTCCCGGTCCCGAGCCGGTTCCAGCAATAAGCCCGCGAAGCCCGGAACCGTTTAGGACCGGCCCACTTAGAACCGGACCCGCAAAGCCCACTTAGGACCGGGCCCGACCCACTTGCCACCCTTATATTAGGTTCACACTCTAATATTTGTTTTACAACAACAACAACAATTCAGTGAAATCCCACAAGTGGGGTATGGGGAGGGTAGTGAGTACACAGACCTTACCCCTGCACCTACCCCAAGGGAGTAGAGACTGTTTCCGAAAGATCCTCGGCTCAAGGCTCAAGAAAACGAAAATAGACAAATACATCAGTACCCTGCTATATTTAGTCCGTTGACAGCCTAGGGTGTATAAACCCATCAGAGGGAGAAGGGGTATCATAATACACAAATTCTTCCCCATAGGTACTTGCAATCCAGAATTCTGTGCGAGTAATTTTCATTTCCCATTTGGAGCATTTCTATTACTTCTGTTGAGACAATATTTATCTCCAATGGGAATAATGTTTTCTCTCTCCAGTGAAAGTAACGCATAACAGGTGTGTGATGCTTCATGTAATTTATTTGCAAAACCTGTTATCCAGCAGTGTATGTATGAGTGTTTTTCCCTAGCTGATCCGTACACATATCATTGAGTTTGTCCCATAGTACTTTTGCATTAAGACATTAAATAATGTTGCTACGTTGGGTATGCGAACAATGCCAGCATTTACTAGCCGAAAATATTGGGAACCTACATGATATAAGGTGTTGGGATACTCTTTTTTAGGGAAAACTGTGCATGTTTGGCTCGAAACAGACAACACCATACCATGTTAAGAGTATGAAAAACAGTTTCACACTTTAAGTGGCAGCTAGTATAGACATCATTAATTTGTGATTAATTTTACATGTTAAGCATATTTAAGGTAGGTAATCTCTCCCAAGCTAGGAGCCATAGGAAGTATGTAATCTTGTTTAGAGTATTTGCTTTCCAAAGCCAGTTCAGATCAGGTATGTTGTTTGTTACTACAATAATAAGTAAGCTGACTTGGTAGTTAATATGCCGTTTTTTTAATATTAGTTGGTTAGATGTTGTATTTATCATGAAGAAACTGAGGGGGACTAGGCCTAACCTCAAACTTACATCAGAAATGACAACAAAAGAATGGTGCACCAGGCCATTCTTCAAAAAATCGGAGCCTATAAACAAAATGACGCCTGAATTAGACCATTAATTTAATTACAGTCAACTTACAGAGAATTAGCCTTTATCATATCTAGTGAATATACCATTGCCTGTGGGTTCCCAGGTGATAGTGATCATCTACGTTGTACACTGATTGTTTGATCTCAAGGGGTAACATGAGGGACAGGTTCTCTAGAATCAGGAGCAGAGGTGGTGATTATGTGATACTTTTAATTCATCTTCATTCATATTGTGGGGGCCAGCTATTTGTTCTCTTATAGTTCTGTTCAGAGATGTTGATTCAACAGTCTATATATGATTAAAAAAGGATGGTTTTTCCTCTATTAGTATAGCTCCGACACTGCATGCATTGCATGTGCATTTTCTCATAACAACTAAAGTTTCAGTGTTAATTTTCTTTGTACAAGGTAAGAGTGTTGGTTATTAAGTGCCTAACAACTCCTAATGTGATATAAATTTACAGGAATCATACCAAGCGAAATTCAGTATCTTCCAACGATTCAAAGACTAAGTCTTCGACGGAACAGTTTGGTGGGAACTCTTCCACCTTCTATGGGGAATTTATCGACTGTGGCAGTAATAGATATTGGTGAAAATAGTCTTCATGGAAATATTCCTACACAACTTGGAAATCTTGGTAATCTGAAAGAAATATATCTAGGCTCAAACAAGATATCAGGTCAAATTCCTAGCTCTTTCTACAACATTTCTGGTTTAGAAATAATTGCACTTGCAGCTAATCAATTGTCTGGAACTCTACCTCCTAATATTGGCCATTGCTTTCCAAATCTTAATGGACTTTTTCTTGGGGTGAACCAGTTTAGTGGGAGAATTCCTGCCTCTATTTCCAATGTCTCGAAGCTCATTTACCTTGATCTTGGACGCAATTTGCTTACTGGGGATGTACCGATGAATCTTGGAAACTTACAGCAGCTTAAAGTGATTAACTTGCAATTGAATCAATTGACAAATGATCCCTCTACGGGGGAATTAAGTTTCCTTACTCCTCTCTCAAATTGCAAGAACTTGGAGGGAATACAAATAGGAATTAATGCATTTAGTGGAAAATTTCCAAAGTCCTTAGCCTTTGGTAATTGGTCTGATTCTCTTGAAAGGTTCAATGCTTTTCGATGTGGCATCACTGGTGAAATCCCTCTTGAAATCAGTAAGTTGAGTAAGTTGACGTGGTTAAGCATTGGAAAGAATGAATTGATAGGTTCAATTCCTCAGGAATTTGGGAACATGAGGAAATTGCAGAAGCTGGTATTTTCGGAAAACAAAATAAACGGTACCATACCAGAAAGCTTATGCAATATGGAGGTCTTATTTCTACTTGACTTGAGTGAAAATCACCTTTCTGGGGAAATACCAATTTGTTTGGGGAATCTTTCTTCTTTAAGAGAAGTTTATTTACATTCAAATGCATTGAGTTCCAATATTCCACCAACTTTTTGGAGTACTAACAGGGCAATATCAGTTCTGAGTTTGTCCTCCAATTTTCTCAATGGTTCTTTGCCATTCGAAATAGGAAGTTTGAGGAGTCTTAGTGATTTAGATTTATCAAGAAATCAATTCATAGGACAAATTCCAAGCACAATTGGACAGCTACAAAATTTGGTGAATCTTTCACTGTCAATGAATAATTTTGAAGGTCACATACCTGAATCATTCGGAGACTTGGTTTCTCTTGCATACTTGGATCTATCCGGAAATAACCTTTCTGGCATGATCCCTGAATCTTTGGTGAATCTTCAACGGCTCAGCTATCTTAATGTGTCTTTCAATATACTCACTGGTGAGATTCCAAATGTAGGACCTTTTAAAAGCTTGACAGCTGAATCTTTCATGGGTAACGCCGCATTGTGTGGACCATCTCAATTCAATGTGGTGAAATGCAGAATCAATAGCCCGAAAAGTAGAAAGAAGAGAAGGGCTTTAACTTTTGTTCTTGCATCAATTGCAGTAGCATTAGTAGTCGCAACCATTTTCATGGTTTGGTTTCTGAAATATCGAAAAAGAAATAGACAACTTGCTATACCAGATTTGATTGGTCAATCCCATAAGAGGATCTCTTACTATGAAGTTGTTCGAGGGACAAACAACTTTGATGAAGCCAACTTGATTGGCAGGGGAGGCCTTGGTTTAGTATACAGAGGAACACTCCTAGATGGAAATATGGTCGCTGTAAAGGTTTTCAATACAGAAGTAGAAGATGCATTCAAAAGGTTTGATTTGGAGTGTGAGGTTTTGCGTAACATTCGCCATAGAAATCTTGTTAAGGTGATAAGTAGTTGTGCTAACCTTGATTTTAAAGCGTTGGTGCTTGAGTACATGCCAAATGGAAACCTCGATACATGGCTTTACTCTCACAACAATTTTTTGGATTTGATCCAAAGATTGAAGATCATGATTGATGTGGCTTTTGCAATGGAATATTTGCATGAAGGTCATTCTTTTGTTGTCGTCCATTGTGATCTAAAACCAAGTAACATACTTTTGGACGGAGACATGGTTGCAAGAGTCAGTGACTTTGGTATATCCAAACTTATGACACCAGATAAAATGATAGCACAAACCAAGACGTTAGGCACTATTGGCTACATGGCACCAGGTAAACAACTGTTATCAAGTCTTTCTTATAACATTATTAACTTGATTAGTGTCACATTTTGTTAACTAGATAGAAATATTTTAAGAAGACAAATGTTGCAGAATATGGATCGAAAGGCTTAGTGTCAACTATGGGAGATGTTTACAGCTATGGTATCTTGTTAATGGAGACCTTTACAAGAAAGAAGCCCACGGACGATCTCTTCGTTGAAGAACTCAGCTTGAAGAGATGGGTGTTTGAAGCATTCCCTGATAGAGTGGTAGATGTTGTGGATGCTAATCTATTTTCAAGAGAAGATGAGCAGTTTTCTTCCAAAGAGACTTGCTTTAAGTTGCTAATGGAATTAGCCTTACATTGCACAGCTGAATTGCCTCAAGATCGAATCAGCATGAAACATGTCCTTGTAAGACTCAACAAGATACTAACTCAGTTTTTGCAAAGTGCAACAGCAACCCAAAATGGAAATTAGTACAGTCAAACCTCTTTGTAACAGCCTCATTTGTTTCGAATTTTTTTTGCTGTTATATAGAACATATATTCTAACGTAGCATGGAAATTGGTTCCATAAAAAGCTTGGCTTTTATAGTGAATGACTGTTATATAACGATGTTGTTATAGAGAGGTCTGACTGTATAATTATATATAATACGTATCTCGATTGCCTGTTTAACCTCATCTTTCATTCAGTACGTTATACTACTAATTAGTGGATTATTACCGTAGTGGAAGAAGTGCTATGTTATATGAAAAGTTCAAATAACAAATTGATAGTACTATGCTTCTTTTTTGTCCTTTTTATGTTTAGAATTTTCTTGTAAAAATATGCAAAGCAAGCATGACAGCATGTGAAAATGTAACTTCAGGGACTCGTGGCCTCCGTAAAGTTGAAATGGTCCAACCGTTATAGATGTCACTTCATTACATACTATTTTCCACTTCATTACTAAGATCTGTGTGGATAAAGGCAAACTTAAAATTAGAATAGTGTTTGAATTCATCATCTCAACTTGGATCATATTACAAATCTACTAACAAATTAAATGATATAGCTTGAGAGAGATGACAAAACGAAGGAGGAAAGTTTTCATTTCGTTTGTTCTTTGTTCTATCAATAAATTTTATGAAATGATCCTTTTTCCATCATCATCATTCCNATATATATATACACAGATATGGAACTTCAATATGTACAACTTGGAAACCTCTCGAATTTTGAGGTCTGTCAATTTTTTACTTCTGGATACAAAATTGGAGTAATCATGGCAGCGCTGCGCGATTCTACATGGCCAGAAACCAAATAGGGGGTCTTTCCCATGCGTGCCCTTTTCACTTGATTTTTCAAATGAAAAAATAAGCTTGGTTAGTGAGGGAATTGGCACTTGTATTATAACACAACTCTCAGCACAATGCTTGAAGGAGTACACGACATTAGGACACTCATATAAAGCTTTAAATGCTTAGTAGTGTGTTGAGGTTTTAATTTTTTAAGATGTAATATTCTTAAAATGAGGGTGAATGGGAAATGGAGGGAAAATAAAATTTTGAGTAAAATTTTAAGTTTCCCTCTCTTAACAATGAGACATTGTCNGGATTTGGATTTGGATTTGGATTTGGATTTGGTCAAATGATCGATTGATTGATTAATTTTTTGGACCAAATTTATTTGTTAATAGTAAATATTAACGTAAGATTATCCGTATTTGTAACGGATATTTTCCAATCCGTGTATTTGATCATTTGGCAACCGGATAATGGTCTTCCCACCAAAGTGCTTGCTCCACAAATATGTAATGCTTGCTCCACTATGAAGGGTGGACGTTTTGGTCTTGCACTCCCTCTTGGCTGCTATTAATATGAGCAGCAAGTGTTGAAGAAATTGCTCAGAACTCAACATACAATTCGCTCAACAAATTGGCTATACATTGCACTTCTTCCTCTCAGAACTTCCATACGTTTTTCTGAGTATATACTCCTTCGTTCTGCATTGTTTTTAACTTCAAACAAAGCAACTGTAAGTGTGATTTGCTACCGAACTTTGTGTTCGCCGAAACACTGGGGTTTGAAGTACCGCTACACCAGTGTGTTATTCGTTCTATCCTGAGAGGAAATAATCCATTACCTAGGGTACTAGGAGGGGATTAAATTCCTTAAAGAAACACTGTGAATTCAGTGGGCTCGAATCTATAACTGTTTCATTACGTAAATTTATATTTTGCAGAATTAGAATTACTATTTACAAATACAGCAATATTGACGGGGAATAACAGTACACTTAGGACTTTGGAAATTTCTAGATCTATTGATGGGTTGCTTGCTTACCAAAGGTGGGGGTCTCCTCCTATTTATAAGCCCCCAAGGATCATTGTAGACTCAAAAAGTTGGGCTAGGGCTGACTTGGCCACCAGAGTGCCCATGGGCAGCAACCCTAAACCCTTAAGTGCCTTCTGGACACTTCTGTTGTCCAGTGGTCGGGCTAGGCCGTAGACCATGCCTAGCCCAATGCACTCCATCATACCCTAGACCCATTGCATTCCGTGTCACATCCCTGTATGCTACCCCCCTCAAGCTTCCTTGGCATATTATTGGTCATTCTTCCATATCACCCAGGCAAACCATTGTTATCAAAGGTGAAAAGTGCAAAAAATCTCTACGGTATGTTGGGGCTTTAGGCGCAAAGCACAAATAAAGCGCATGCTTTAGTTATTGTTTGGTGACGCCTCTTCAAGATTACACTCATTGGCAAGGAAAAGTACACCTTAGAGCCTTGATGACAACACTGAAGCGCCCACTAAGCGAGGCGAAGCACTCAACATGTTTTGAGTCTCGCTTTAGGGCTTAAGCGTGCTTTAAGCGCACCTTTAATAACACTGTGCGAACCTCGCCATTCTTGGACGCCCGTCCCTTGACATGTACCTTATCATCCTCGCGCATCACACCACGTGTATGACATGCGCTATCCATGGGCGTTTAGCCTCGTGCATATACCTTGCCCTTGTCAGGCACCATGCCACACTTATGATGTAAGCCTTCCTTGTACGCTATGGCTCCCGCTCGTGCTTCACCGCCGCTGGTCACCACGCCTTGTGCATGCTCCATCATCGCACATCCTCTTTTGCCAACACTACCACGTGTGACGGCTATGCACCATGCCAATGCTTCCCCGATTGCGCTTATTTTATTATTAAACTTAAACAAATAATCATTTGATGTTGAATGTTAAAACCTTGAAATCCTCTCAGTTAGCCCCGTCCATGGCCACCTTAGCCCTTGTAGCATGTGCAAAATATTTTTGGCAGGTTATGACTCAGAGCTCAGATAAACTTCGCACTTTGTCAACTCAATCTTGAGCCACTCATCAATCATCACTGAGCCAAACTAATCTAACTCAACTTAAGCTTAAGTCACCTTCAATCTCTCTCAATTTACAGCTAATTGATATATACTACCTTACAGCTCAAGCTTGCATATCTAAAGTAACATCCTGACATTTAATAGAGAAAAAACAGCAACAAATAATTACAGTCTTTGTGCAATTACAACAAGATTAAAAGAAATTTCCAGGAAACAAGTATGATCTAAAATGATGCAACTTTACATAAAGGTAAAAACAGAAAGGCATCATAACACAATAGTTCTACCTTGCACAGATAATGCATCAAGGTCATTTTGTTGTTTGTAGCACTGAGTGTCAGAAAGCTTAAGAAGACTGTCCAATTTGAACCCTACAGCAGATCCTGCAATGTAATTACAAAAACAAAGATATTATTCACAGCCAAACAACTAATCTTTTTTTGTATGAAAATCCAGATCTTAGAAACTTGTACCTCGTGCTGTACCCTGATTCAGTGCATTTCCCAATGTTAGAATGGTCTGCATTATTTGACGTAGTTTGGCAGATTCTTTCACCTACTCGATCAGGAAATGCAGTTAGAATCCAGCTGAAATCAGAATGTGCCAAATCAAACTTCATAAGGTATTAAAAGTACCTCTCTAGTAGCATTGTTAATTGTACTTAGGTTAGTTCTCAAGTCAGTCACCTGAACAATTCAAGATATTACAATCAACAGAAAAATCAATGGCAGAGTGCATAGACATTGGTTCACTAACAAGTACAAGAGCGAATACCTGATTAAAAAAAGTGATAGTAAATGAAAACACTCTTAACTTGGACTCAACTCGTGGGACCTGCATCAGCTCCAGGAAAAACTGAAACAGTTATTAATCCAGTTAATTACTCATAACTTAGAGGCTAAAGAATTTTGTAGTTTCCCGTATATATATATTCAAAATGGAGAAGACCTGCTTACACTTTCCAAGCATTTCCTTGTCCTCATTATAGTTCTGGAAAATAGAACATAAACAGTAAGATCAAATTTTGAAACCAAAATTAACTTTTAGTTGTTAAATAGCAAGTATTAAGAAACTAGCACAATTAAATTCATAAAGGTAAGCGAAATCAAGCAGAAACAAGTATACACAACAGACTATGATATACACATCCACAGACACCAGGAAAGGGAGTCATCAAACGTAAGCTTGCACATCATAGATGCAAGTACATACTCCATATAAGCATGCAACTGCCAAATGGGTCATTCAATTATGGGCATCAATCTGCACAGCTACTTACACAAAAGGCACATCAACAAAATCATAGGCCACTGGCTCCAATGACTTGCTGAACTAGTATTCTAAAATCAAATACAAATGCAAAAGGTGAATGTGTTGGTCTTGGCTCCAAAGTACCATTGGTAAGAACTTCAATGTGAATTATTTCTCTAAACGAGGAGACTTAAACAAAAATTGAAGCTAATTTCAGAAGATATCTCTAACATTATGAATGAACTCAAAATAAATGACTAGATGCATAATACACAAATATTATTGTGATCTAAACTTTGCCATGACAGGCAAGCACTGCCAGGATGAGAACGGGATAGTACCCTTAGTGTCTCCATTTCTTCTTTTGTTGGGCAAAACTTCATAAGATTTTCGACTTGATCAATGTCCAGAGCTGACGAATCCAAAGCCAAAACAGCATTCTGTAAAACATGCATATACTAATTTGTCAGAAATCCAGAAATTTTTAGTAAAAAGAAATCCTATTTGTATTCGCATAATAATATTGGCATGAGATGAGTTTAGACGGAGTAACATGGTCAGTGGGGACTCATATAGCCAACCCCAACTTGCTTGGGACTGACTCGTAGTTGTTGTATTAGTAAAGCAGATTCAGGCTAAATATTTCATTCATTTCAGTCTACCTCCATTAAAACTCAAAAAAGACAAACAAAAAACCATCCTAAGAAACCATGCATGAGCATCCCTAAAGAATGTTCACCACGCTGACTGAACACATGCATGAATCGGCATATTATTACTGTACATTACTACAATACGATTTGACGACAGAGCCAAAGGGTAAAATATTTTATACAATATCTATAGTGATTCTTTTGAATTTCAGCAGAAATATATCAATTGAGTTTAACATTTAATTTTGATCTCCTCAACTCTGGTGAAATTACATGATCTTTTCAACTCTCTAAAGTTGTTAAAAATATAAAAGAATAAATATGTCTTTTTAATCAGTAGTTCTACAGCTAGTTCTTTCTTCAGTAACTTCTATTTTCATAATATATTTATATAACTCATTTTCTCTTTTTACATTTCATTGAACTCCGTCTATTTCTTTTTTTTTTTTTAAATGACAATGGTGCCCGGTCCTACTTGTGCGCGCACCTCCACTAATCTATAGGGTACACGATACCTCCTATCGGCATAGTTATGGGTAACTCTGCCCCCAAAATTTAATCAGATGAGAGAAACTGCCTCTTCACTTTTTGCCTCTGTTCGTATTTGAACTAAAATCCTAGGACCTCTCCCACCTCATTTACCACTAGGCCGCACTTTTAGGTGTTCATTGAACTCCACCTATATGAGAAAAGCATAACTAACTTGAAATTGAATTACGAGGAGAATTGTGATAGGTTAACGGCTCTCATAAATTAGTCGAACTACCATAGCTCTTTTGAATAAGACCTGACGGCTGACATAGAGCAATATGGATACAGATGATTCACATACCCAACCCCGACTAGTTTCGGATTCGTTCTTCGTTCTTTTATTGAGTAGAAATATAGATAGTTAATCGGTATATCATTCTTTTTTAAACAGAAATAAAGATATTTCACTTTCAATTTAGAGTTCAAGACATACTATGATCTTATTCTTTATTTGTTGAGAACCATCTTTTTGTCAAACCCATGATGATGATTCAATATTTTTGCATAATATTGTATCTATTTGGTTCATCAGATACTTCTATAGATTTAGAAAATGTACAAAGGGACAAGAACCACAACAACAACAACAACCCAGTGTAATCCCACAAGTAGGGTCTGGAGAGTGTAGGATGTACGCAATCTTACCCCACACTGGAAGGACAGAGAGACTGTTTCCGATAGACTCTCGGCTAAAGAAGGTGAAAGAAGCCCTAATAGCAAGTAATAACAAGACAATATAATTAGAAAACTAAACAGAGAATATGAAAGAGGTACCAATAGCAAGTAATAGCAAGACAATATATTTAAAAAACTAAATCCAAGGTAGCAAACGAGAATACGAACGAAGTACTGCTAGCAAACCACGGAAGTACCGATGGCAAGTAATAACAGGGTAAGAAATACGATAATAGCAAACTAAGGATAAAAGGGTACAGTAACAACAACAACAACAACAACATACCCAATATTATCCCACACCGTGGGAAAAGGGTACCGTACTAATACTAATACTATCGAACTAGGGAAGACAAAGGAAAACGCCACTACCCTAACCTTCTACCATAATCTTCAACCTTCACACAGGGACAAGAACCAATATACTAAATTGTAACCTTTTAGAAAATAAAGTCTTACAGTATATACATTCAAATGTATATGTTATTTGTTACTTGATCACAATTGATAAAAACGTAACGACTCATTATTACTTTTTTTGGTAGTTTAATTTGTGTCACTTTTAAAATTATAAGTAGCTCGATTTCAAAAGTTTCTGATTGTCCTAAACCCAAGTAAATATTAACTAATATAATTATTTCATATGATAAACAATAAAAAGGTTTGGTCGAAAGACCGACCTGTGGACTAGGATACATAAACTAGTGCAAGAGATTAAATTTTGAAGTTGATAGTAGAAACAAGAAGATGCTAAAAGAACTCACCAGCATATCAGGCAAGGGAATCTTGATTTTTATAAGCATGATTTCGCAATTGTACGCCCTGCGCAAATCGACCTGACAAAAGCATATGTTAAGAAATAATTCCCGTTCTTTAACAAGTTAAACCAAAATTTAACACTTCCAGTCTTTCACTACAAACAGAGGGAGTTCTGTAAAATGGACTCCCATACCTCAGGAAGAAAAAGAAGCCAACACCCAATACACTATTCACCAATTATTCCATAGTGATCTCATAATATATAGTGAAAGCTTTAAAGTAAATGTTTCTTTCTATAGAAGAGATTTATCTCTTCCCAAGTTAGCACTAACAAATAAATTAAGTAGCAAGTGAACTGCAATTCATTCATGGTCAATGGCCATCCCAACGGGACACGTCTATGTTAGAGCACAGCCTCCGCAACCCTTTCATTCTAATCCATCTAGACATGCATCGCAACCTATAAAAATGACTTTGCTACATGAATTTATATTACAAACTAGTAAAACAACTTCTAAGAAATTTTCAAAAGATAGCCATTTGAAATTTTCTTGATATGATGGACCCCATCCTCCAAACCTACTACTTCTATCTAGGAGGCCCAAGTGGTATTTCCAAGTGGTATTCCTCTTGTACCCCTCGGTAACTCGAACCCTCAACCTCATGATCGATGGTGAAGGACCTTATCACCAGAATATCCCTCCATATTAGGTCAAAGATAACTAACTTAGCTTTCCTGAAACAGAAATGGTGTTACCTCTGGGATGGAAAAAAGTAGAACTTTTCCACCCAAAGTTCATCATTTCATCATTCATATCTGTGTCCAGCAACCATATGTTCTTCTCTCTCTTGGAATGCTTGCTTCCAAACTTCGCCTATGTTAAACCCATTTAAGGCCTTACTTTAAACTTCTTTTCCACATTGTTAGCCACAACTTACCACTAAAACCCCTCTTTAAAACCTATCCAAAATTCTTAATATCTTTATTTAACTAGTGAAAGAAAGAGATCTATACTCATCCTACAACATTCTCCTAACTACGTGAAAAACTTGCTTGATAATGCCTATCAGGACAATGAGTCCAAGAGGCATCCCTAACCTTCCAATTTGGCCATAACTAAGGACTTGGCTATTACTCCAAGAGTAACTTCACTTACTTTTCATTTTTGAAAAAAGAAAAAGACATAAAATATACATGAAGAAGGTTATAGTATCCTCAATAGATTTGACTCGTCACAAGACTGTCTCATACCACTTCTATGTTGGCGCAGAAGCCATTAGCTGGGTGGGTGGAAGTTACGTGTTTTGGAAAGTCCAAAGTGGAGGTAACACAGCTGCCCAAGGAAACAAGCAAGAGAACTTTTGAATTTTCATCCAATACTAGGTGCGTTGAAAGTGAAGGTCACGGGGTGGCAATATTCTATTTCTGGATCGGATTTACTATTGTATATAGTATAGTCTTGTCCCACATTGGAATATGAGTAGTATGTCTTTGCATAGTATAACTATAAATAAGGATCTCTTGTATTGTATTAAACATCCAATATCAATAACATATTTTCTCCCTTGCTTTCTCACATGGTATCAAAGTAATTGTGAGAGATTTATCGATGTGCATAAATTCCAGCGATTCCGGAAAGAGAAATCAGTCAGCAGAAATCTTTTTCCGGCGACTCTTTTTAAGGTTGTTTTGCGTCTGCTTCGTCTCCGTCAATGTTGTGCAAAATCCAACACTAGCACAAGAGTCTTCACTGTCCGGCGACCAAACCCTAGTAAAAATGTCCTGCATCAGTCTCCTCACGCGCCACCTGAAGCTCACGCGCAGGCGCGTACGACCACTTCCGACCATTTTTTTAAAAACTGCCTTCAGAACAGTTGGGTCACCTTGTAATTCCGATCATACCCCTATTGTTTTCATTTCATTCCGATCACTTTAAGTTTTTTCCGGCAGCTACAATACTATTCCGACAGCTACATTAAAATTCCGGCAACTTCAATATTTCCTTATTTTGTTTCCGTGTTCCCTTACTCTGTTTCAGTGGATTACAATTGATTCTTTCTCTTATTTGGTAATAATTTGCAATGATGTCTTTGGAATTTGATGCTTTAGGGTCTAGAAACATGAGTTCTGGAAGCTGTAGTGTTATTATTATCTCGGAACCTTTAATGGGAGGTTCAAACTACTTAGCTTGGGCTTCATCTGTTGAGTTGTGGTGTAGAGGCCAAGGCGTTCAAGATCATCTAATCAAACAGTCTAACGAAGGAGATGAAAAGGCAATAGCACTTTGGGCAAAGATCGATGCTCAATTATGTAGCATCTTGTGGCGATCTATTGATTCCAAGTTGATGCCCTTGGTTCGTCCATTCTAGACATATTATTTGGTTTGGGCAAAGGCACACACCTTATACACTAATGACATATATCGCTTCTATGATGTGATATCGCGGATGACAAACTTAAAGAAGCAGGAATTAGATATGTCTACTTATTTGGGTCAAGTACAGACAGTCATGGAGGAATTTAAGAAGTTGATGCCAGTTTCTGCTAGTGTTGAAAAACAACAAGAGCAGCGACAAAAGATGTTTCTCGTTCTTACCCTCGCTGGACTTCCTAATGATCTTGATTCAATACGCGACCAGATTTTGGCTAGTCCGACTGTCCTGACAGTTGATGAATTATTTTCTCGATTACTCCGCCTTGCTGCAGCACCAAGTCACCTAGTGATCTTATCACAGATACATGATTTCTCTGTTCTTGCATCCCAGACAGTGGATGTTCGGGCATCTAAAACTATGGAGCATAGACGAGGAGGAGGTCATCGTTACATGGTCGTCCACCCAAAAATACTTACATTGCTCAGACCGAGACTACAGGTAACCAGGGATTTTCTATATGGAAAGAAGAATATAATAAGCTCCTTTAGTATCGAGTAAGTAAGCAGACATCTCCACAAGTAGCCTCAGTTGCTCAGACCGATACTTCTATTACTAGTAATTCTTTTGCTTGTGTTTAGTCTAGTACTCTTGGCCCATGGGTCATGGACTCAGGCACTTCTGATTACATCTCTGGTAATATATCACTTTTGTCAAATATTGTATATTCACAGTCTCTTCCCATTGTTACTTTAGCCAATGGATGTCAAACTAAGGCAAAAGGAGTTGGACAAGCTAATCCATTATTTTCTATCACCCTTGATTCCGTTATTTATGTCCCTGGCTGTCCTTTTAGTCTTGCATCTGTTAGTCGTTTGACTTGTGCCTTCCATTGTGGTATATATTTTATTGATGATTTTTTTATTATGTAGGACTGCAATACGAGACAGACAATTGGTATAGGATGTGAATCAGAAGGCCTTTACTACCTTAACTTACTCAGTCCTTCCACAACATGTCTAGTTACAGATCCTACAGATCTAATCCACAGACATTTAGGACATACGAGTTTATCCAAACTTCAGAAGATGGTGCCTAGTTTATCTAGTTTGTCTACATTAGATTGTGAGTCGTGTCAGCTTGGAAAACATACCTGAGCCTCCTTTTCGCGTAGTGTTGAGAGACATGCAGTGTTTATCTTCTCCTTAGTTCATTATGATATATAGGGTCCTAGTAGAGTCAGTTTAACCTTGAGATTTTGTTATTTTGTTAGTTTCATTGATGATTATTCAAGATGTATTTGGCTTTTCTTAATAAAAGATCGTTCTGAGTTATTTTCTATATTCCAGAGTTTCTGTGCTGAAATCAAAACCAATTTGGTGTTTCTATTAGCATTTTTCATAGTGATAATGCCTTAGAATATTTATCTTCTCAGTTTCAGCAGTTTATGACTTCTCAAGGAATTATTCATCAGACATCTTGTCCTTATACTCCTCAGCAAAATGGGGTTAGTGAGAGAAAGAATAGGCACCTTATTGAGACTGCCCGCACACTTCTAATTGAATCTCGTATTCCGTTGCGTTTTTGGGGCGATGCAGTTCTCACAGCTTGTTATTTGATTAATCGGATGCCTTCATCTCCCATCAAGGATTAGATTCCGCATTTAGTATTGTTTCCCCAGTCACCCTTATACTCTCTTCCACCCCGTGTTTTTGGGAGCACGTGTTTTGTTCATAACTTAGCCCCTAGAAAAGATAACTTAGCTCCTCGCACTCTCAAGTGTATCTTCCTTGGTTATTCTCGTGTTCAGAAGGAATATCGTTGTTATTATCCAAATCTTCGTAGGTACTTTATGTCAGCTGACGTCACATTTTTTTAGTCTAAACCTTTCTTTACGTCTGCTGACCACCATGATATATCTGAGGTCTTACCTATACCAACCTTTGAGAAGTTTACTATAGCTCCTCCTCCACCTTCGACCATAGAGGTTTCACTCATACCAACCGTTGAGGAGTCTAGTGTTGTTCCTCCTAGTTCCCCAGCCACGGAAACACCACTCTTGACTTATCATCGTCATTCGCGCCCTACATCAGGCCCAACTGGTTCTCGTCCTGCACCTGACCCTACTCCTACTGCGGACCCTGCTCCTAGTACACCGATTGAACTTCGGAAAGGTATATAGACCACCCTTAACCCTAATCCTCATTATGTCAGTTTGAGTTATCATCGTTTGTCATCTCTCTATTATGCTTTTATATCTTCTTTATCCTCAGTTTCCATCCCTAAGTCTACAGGTGAAGCGTTGTCTCATCTTGGATGGCGACAGGCTATGAGTGACGAGGTATCTGCTTTACATACAAATGTACTTGGGAGCTTGCTCATATTCCCTCAGGTAAATATACTGTTGGTTGTCGTTTGGTTTATGCAGTCAAAGTTGGTCCCTATAGACAGATTGATCGACTTAAGGCATGTCTTGTTGCCAAAGGATATACTCTGATATTTGGGCTCGATTACAGTGATACCTTCTCTCCCGTGGCTTGAGTCCACCTTTTTCTATCCATGGATGCGGTTGGTCATTGGCCCCTCTATTAGCTAGACATTAAGAATGCATTTCTTCACCGTGATCCTGAGGATGAGGTTTATATGGAGCAACCATCTTGTTTTGTTTCTCAGGGGGAGTCTCGTGGGCTTGTATGTCTCTTGCGTCGATCACTTTATGGTCTAAAGCATCCTCGAGCCTGGTTTGGTAAGTTCAACACGGTTATCCAGGAGTTTGGCATGACTCGTAATGAAACTGATCACTTTGTGTTTTATCGGCACTCTGCTACAAGTCTCTGTATTTATCTGGTAGTCTATGTTGATGATATTATTATTACTGGCACTGATCAGGATGGTATTACCAATCTGAAGCAGCATCTCTTCCAGCACTTCCAAACCAAGGATCTATGCAGATTGAAGTACTTTCTAGGTATTGAGGTTGCCCAGTCTAGCTCAGGTATTGTTATTTCTTAAAGAAAATATGCTTTAGACATTCTTGAGGAGACAAGGATGATAGGTTGCAGACCCGTTGACACTCCGATGGATCCGAAGTCTAAACTTCTACCAAGACAGGGGGAGCCGCTTAGCGATCTTGCAAGCTATATATGGCTGGTTGAAAAATTAAATTACCTCACAATGACTAGACCTGACATTTCTTATCCTATGAGTGTTGTAAGTCAGTTTATGAATTCTCCCTGTGATAGTCATTGGGATGTAGTTGTCCGTATTATTCAGTATATAAAATCGGCTCCAGGTAAATGGTTACTATTTGAGGATTAAGGTCATGAACAGATCGTTGGATACTCAGATGCTAATTGGGCATGATCACCTTCTGATAAGCGTTCTACATCTGGATATTGTGTTTTAGTAGGAGGCAATTTGGTCTCCTGGAAGAGCAAGAAATAGAATGTAGTTGCTCGGTCTAGTGCAGAAGCAGAATATCGAGCAATGACTATGGCAAAATATGAGCTAGTCTGGACCAAACAATTGCTCAAGGAGTTGAAATTTGGTGAAATCAATTGGATGGAACTTGCGTGCGTAATCAAGCTGCCCTTCATATTGCATCAAATTCGGTGTTCCCTGAGAGAACTAAACACATTGAGATTGATTGTCACTTTATTAGAGAAAAGATACTTTCAGGAGAGATTGCTACAAAGTTTGTGAGGTCGAATGATCAACTTGCAGATATTTTCACCAAGTCTCTCACTGGTCCTCGTATTGATTGTATGTGTAACAAGCTCGGTACATATGATTTGTATGCACCGGCTTGAGGGGGAGTGTTAGTTTACAACTATGTATATAGTATAGTCTTGTCCCATATTGGAATAGGAGTCGTATGTCCTTGTATAGTATAGCTATAAATAAGGACCTCTAGTATTGTATTGAACATCCAATATTAATAACATATTTTTTCTCGTACTTTCTTACACTACTGATATTAAGTTACAACACTGTTAGTTGGCCAGAGTACAGTCCTACCAAGTACTTCAAGAATATCATGGTAATTTGGCACTAGTAGCAATTTAGGTGTGTCTTTACTTCTAAACTTCTCTTGAGTTTAAATCATTAAAACAATCATCTTACATGTACTAGTCAACAACAACAACAAACTCAGCTTACACTACTAGTCATGGAAGATTATTGATGCTTTCATATATCTTTTGACCTTATAAATGTGCAAATTCAACACTATCTTGGCATTCATGCATTTTTAGAATAGGCAAAGACGCAATGTCAAATGTTTTATTTGGGCAAGAAGAAAAAGCATAATTGCATGGGCAACTGATGACAGATGATTTGATATAAAAGGGCAGCCCGGTGCACTAAGCTCCCGCTATGTGCGGGGTATGGGAAAGGGCCGGGCCACAAGGGTCTATCGTATGCAGCCTTACCCTGTATTTCTGTAAGAGGCTGTTTTCACGACTCGAACTCGTGACCTCCTGGTCACATGGCAACAACTTTACCAGTTACGCCAAGGCTCCCCTTCAATGACATATGATTTGATATAAATTTATGAATTACAGTGCCATGTATAAATGTAACTTCTACGCTCAATTACCATTAGTCAAGTGCAGCAAGCATCATTAAGAACCACTGTGCCTATTTGGCTAAGAGGAAAGTAAGGAGTATCAATAGGAGAAGGATTAGCTAACAAGATAAGATTCAGCTTCCTTGTCCATGCAGGGAATAAAGAGGAAGGAGAAGAAAGTGGATGAGCTAGATTATAGTATCCTCCATTACATATCCAATTCTGCAGACCGGAGGAGTTTAAGGTTTAATTTGAGCCTAAAGTTAAAAATGTTCACACATGTAAGCAAAAAATGTTATTAACACATAAAGCACTCTAAAGTGAGAGTGAGTGCCAGAGGAAGGGAACAAAGACATAAATGAATTAGTATCTCCAATAAAACAAATAAGGTAGTGAGTGAAATATACAAAGGAAACATGGCATTTTCATCCTACATGTCTATTGCGTGCCTTGCTCAGAAATTTAAGAAAAAGTGAATAAACTTGTTTAATAGAAAATCATCAGCACATTAACGATTATAGAGACTAGAAACAAGATAAAGCATATATAACTTGCCAATTGCACTTTTTCTGGTTTGTTGATTTTGGAACCACGTCGAGCTCCACCTTTGCTAGTTCCATTAGTAGCTGAAGCCACCGAAAACTAATTTTCGAGCTCTGTAATATCAATTTCAGGTGCTCTGTCACATACATTAAAAAGGTTTGATCAGAACTTCCCATAACAAAGAGATAAATAACAAAAACCCGATGCAAGCTAGGGTATACTCAAAGTGGTCAGAACTAGCCTAATGATGACCTGTAATGGAGTTTCACGAGACAAAATAAATAGAAAACGTTATGATCTGGGTATTAAATTGAAATGATCCAGAAGTTCTCATTGTAATGTTTCATCCCCCAAAATAAAATATGCATACCTGGATGTATTTTCCTTATTTTGCGTATCTGCCCATAAACTCCCGTGCATGGCCCGTGTAACTTTCGACCAATGTAAAGGCTTCAATGAAGCTTTTTTAGGAGTAATTGAAGTACCTCCTGCACCTCACCCTTTCCCTAGAGCATTTGAGCCTACAAAGGCTCTTACACGTCCAGTAGATGAAGGTGGTGGTGGTGGCACATTATGTCCCTTTCCACCAGGTGGTGGAGGTGGAGTGGGTGTCAAACCCCGCCTAGGGGGTGGTGGAGCATTAGGTGCCTTTGGTGCTGGTGGAGGTGCAGGTGGATTTGAACCTTGCCTAGGAACTTCTCAAGGAGGTGGAGGAGGTGCAGGTGGCCTTTTAGAATTGCTTGTAGGTGGAGGTGGTGGAGGTGCCAGCGAAAATGACTTATTTGATGTAGAGTATGAAGGTAGAGGTGGTGGTGGTGGTGGATGGGCCAATGGAGTTGACCTATTTGATGTAGAGGATGAAGGTGGAAACGGTGGTAGTGGTGGAGGTGCCAACGAAGTTGACCTATTTGATGTAGAGAATGAAGGCGGTGGTGGTGGTGGAAGTGGAGGGCCCTTGAGAGAGACGGAAGGGGGAGGTGGGAGAGGTGGGGGAGTTACTCAAGGCAAGGGCGTACACTTAGATGATACCAAAGGTGGAGGGGGAGGTG